TGTTCTACCGTGAACCTCTTGCAAGACTAAATTCCGGCTTTGACGAGGTCAGTTAAATAATGAATGAAAGCCTTGTTGTGTTCCTAAGAACGTGGACTGACTCTAAAATATGAAACACTTGCTCTCTCCAACTGCAAAATTGGAGGCCCCGAGGCGAATAGAGAAGAGGAGCAAATAGTATTGCCAATTGACGCACATTGAAACGGCCGAATACAGTATGGGGGAGCTGAAAATAGACAGGCAATCATTTGAAATGGCGCCAAATAGAACATTCTAAACCTCGCGCGCCATGGTGGGGCGGAGAAGGAGAAGAAAAAGAACCTGACCGATTTAAGCAGAATGTCAGCTACTTGATATAAGCCAGCGTAGTTTTGCATGTCAACTTCTGATTGGAGTAGAGTTTCGAGACTACCAGTAAATCAGTAGTATGAGATGTATTCACCCAAAGACGAAATAGGATGAATACATCTCATATTCTGATTGGACGATGCGGTGCTAAGCTCTGATTGGGCGACGTGAAATAAAGGGTCAAGATTACTCACACATTCACGTGATCTCTGCACCAAAGCAAAGTTGTGGCGATGGGTGACTCCAGCCTAAATGACTTTCACGGGATGCTGTCTCGTGGAATGCGTCATCCTGAACGTCGTATTCAAGCCAAATGGTAGCGGAACACTGCGAGTAATAGTTGTGAAGACTCTGCTTTCGTATGAAAGTGTGTGAGCAATGTGGAGCTGCGTCAGTTGATCTCACCAAAATACGACGTCCGATTCCAATTGTTCTGCTATCATTTCATCTACAACACCAAGTTCAGGTTGACGTAGTTGACGAGACATCTGCCCACGTCTCATGAGAAGCCGGGCAAAGCTCTCGTCGATCGTATGACGAACCTCATCACAATTGGAAACCATTCTTGCAAAGGTCAATGATACCGAACGACTCTATGCGACATGCCATATTTACTTATAACGAAAATATATAATGTTTCGATTAGTTGCCTTGACGTCGAGTACGCATTTATGCGTGTGCGCTTGTTGAAATCTGTACACGCAACCGGCCATAATTGAGAGTAATTAGCGGCAAGACTTAATAACCCAAGAAGGAACATGACCAAGATTGCGCCATTTGTCATTTGCAAGTAGACGGCCAGTAGACTACCAGTAAATAAGATATATTAGATGTTTTCATCCTATTTCGTTTAAAGTGACCTAGGTCCTTCATGGCATATATCTGATTTACTAGTAGTCTCGATAGGCTACTTACAAATGAAAAATAAGTAGTGTATATAAGTTGCTTGACCTAGTCTTCACAACTTGGAAATGATCATGCATACTATGGACTCCGGAGAAGGTGCGTTCCTCAACTTCTGACTGAGAATATGACCAATTTGCAACAACAAGGTCAAACAACTTATATTCAACCATACAAAAATCCACACCATCCTGGTCTTTACAGCTTCGAATAAGTAATCTAGTCGATTGTTGTCACAAATAAAACGTATGCGATACAGCAAAATGAGTGGCTTTCGTTGCAATTCACATCTGCTCTATGCCCCAAACGGACTTGAGACCGTTTGGCGTAGTGGTTATCGTGTCGAAAATGTACACTCCCTTGTCAGGGTTCGAGTTCCACTGGGGGTCGAAACTGCAGTCCACCTTAGCCGAAATGAGGATAACTTTTGTGACAGAAAGGTCATGTGAAATTCAACGGAAACGTATGATATACTCATCTGATTGTGGGAAAATTCAACTACCAGTCCCTTTTTTCACGTTAAACGGTATAGGACGAACACATTTCACATCAGATTGCGTACATCAGTAAGCGACTCTCGTTGAATTGATGAGATGTATTCACCCTATTTCGTCTAAGTTGATGAAGGACTGGTTGTAGAATTTTCCCACAATGAGATGAGTAGAGCTGACGTTTCCATTCAATTTCACATAGCCTTGCTTTCCCAAAAGTTGTTCTCATCCCGGC